CCAAGTCAACTGTGCACTGTACACTGCAGGGCTCCTTCAATCTTGGGCTTACCGGCCCTCTCCTCTCACACTGGCTGGATCGGAGGCTCTCCCCAGCCCATGTCCCCTTGTTTTCAAGACCTGTCACAATCCATAATCTGTGATTGCTGCTGTTTTGGCTGGAGTCTCCAAGGCTGCTTGGTCAAATGGCAGTCTCGGCCTGAGAAGGCTGGCAGACAACGGATCTGGGCATGGGTTTGGGGAGAAAGCAAGACTCCCCCAGCAGCACCAAGCATCTGCCCCTCTTGCTGGGCTCACATGCCAGGGTAAGGCATAGCAGCTGCCAACCAGCCCTTGGCAACAGTGTGACCCATGCCTCTGGACAAACCAAGGTAAAAATGTGAATCACAGATATAGACCCAGAGCAAGGGCCTCAAGAGTGAGCTGGCAGTGCTCTGTCTTCCTTCCTCTATCTCCTTTCCTTCCATCCAGGGGGCTGGGGAGTGCAGCCCCACATTCTCACTACAAGTGACTACATGAGGTGAAGGATGAGAAACCCGAGTCCCACACTGGCTTCCTTTGCGGTAAGTGTGGCCAGGTCTCAAGCCCTGTCCTCCTGTCTTCCTCTCAGATCTAGTTTCCTTAATGACAGTATCCATCAAGATCATTACACAACCAAACTCTGTAGCTGGTGAAAGCAAGCATGAATGAATTAGAAGTAAAACTTGAAAACAAGTTAACAGTGAGAGATATCACAGTGATTTAGGGAGGCTCTTCAGTCAAATGGTGATAGGCTTGTAGCAGTGCCTAGACAGAGATCCTGAATCTGTGTCTGACCATCAGCATTAGCATTTAAATAACCACATGCAAAATAAGTAACACATGCCTTGGGGTGAGACCCCGTTATCTCGTTATCTCTGAGTCTGGATTTCCACCATTTGTTTAGTGGTGCTGAGGACTGATCCCAGAGTCTCAGGTTTGCTAAACAAAGTGCTCTACTGCTGAGCTACATCCTCAGCCTGGTTTCCGCCTCTTTTTTTTCTCTAGTACTAGGGACTAATTAAACTCACGGCCTTTACAGGGAGCTACATCCCTAGTCCTTTTAAAATTTTTAGGCAGGATCTCGATAAACTGCTAAATTACCTACACAGGGCTGGGACTTGCGATCCTCCTGCCTCAAGCTTCTCAGGGTGCTGGGATTATAGGCTGAAGCCACCAAGCCCAGATAAGTTTCCATCTTTTATTTATTTTTTATTTTTCTGTATTTTAGGGAAAGGTCTACAGGATGTTCTGGGTCTCGCTACTAGATCGGACTCATAGTGATCTGCCTGTTTACAGCCTCCCAAAAGCTGGGATTATAGGCACACGCCACCATGCCCAGTCTATCCACCTTTTAAAATGGAAATAATGGTTGCTTCCTCTTGAGGAGTTTGTGACAATGATTTGCATAACTGGGGCTTTTCCTACCCCTCCAAATTCAGCCTGTACTCTGTATTGTCCATGACTTTCAGGTCTTTGTCTATCCCAAGGCCTTTTACCCTTGGGAGCCTTCATAAGCACTTCCTCATGGCCTGAAGGGCCCCAGCATATCTGCCCTCATTCTGGAACTCCTCAGGTCGCATCTTTTCATCTGCACAGCCCTTGTCTCAATGCTGCTGGAAAGAGGTCATCCTGCCAGTAATCAGTTCTACTCTAAGGAACTGCTTGATTTCCTTGCGCTATCACTACACTTTAGAATGATACAGTTTTACAATTATTTGTTTCCTTGCTTACTGCCTGGCTCCATGTCCATCCCACCATTAACTCCGTCAGGGCAGGAACCACACACCTGTTTTGTTTACCACTGAGCAAGTACAGTGGTAAGTACAGTGACTAGTAGAACAAAAATGTACCTGGCATTTGCTGATGAATAGTCAATGAATGAAAAAGATGGGACTGGAATTGGGAAAACTTGGGTGGATTTTTGTGCCAAATCATTATGAGGGAAAATAAATCATAATTTTTGTGACATTTTAATAAATGTCCAGATAAATTCTTTGAGACTGAATCTGTGAGATAGAGGCAAACTCCCTCCCAAGGCTGCGTGGCCATCTCTCAAACTAAGAAACATCATCTTGGGCCAGGGAGATAGCTCAGCAGCATAAGCACCTGCCTGGCAAGCGCAAAGTCCCAAGTTCTATCTCTGGTACTGAAGGAAAAAAAGAGACATCATCTTGTCACCTGTGGGTGTTCCCCAGGAGGAAAACACAAGTCCATCATCCAGACATTTAATGCCAGCCACCTGCCCATTCCCAGCTTAAGGGGCGCATTGCCTGGTCCTCACTGATGGTCCCCCAGTCCTAATACATGGTAGAAAGACCCACACTGTGCTGCTGTCTACTGATCCAGGGGAGGGCTGGGATGGCTGAGCAACCAGGGAGCCTGGGACACCATAACCATTTCACTCCTGGAAGTTGTGAGTACATTCCAGAGTAATCCCATCAAATTTCACTTGACCACTTCCTACTGTCTCCCCACAGGAATCCCATTCTCCAGGCTCCTACTTTCCAAGAATTCTCCTTAGTATCTATTGCCAGGTCTGCAAAAGACCTCAACATGGGCTGTGGATATGGCTCAGGGGTCAGCCCCCAGTGCTATTCCCCAAAAAACACAGACCTCAGTGGTTGCCATATCCAGCCTTTGCTGCCAGGCTGTACTGACTGTAACCCATAAGGGTCACCATTTTTTTTTTTTTTTTTAAATTTTATTTATTTGTGTGTGTCTGTGTCTGTGGCCAGCTCAGCCCACCAGGGGGCGGGGTGGGCTGGCATGTGGTGCTGGGGGATTGAACCTCGGTCCCTGTGCTTTGCCAAGCCTGTTCCAAATAGGTGCTTTAGACCACTGAGCCATCTCACCAGCCCCAAGGGTCACCATTTAAAGCCTCCCATTGGAAGGTAGAGACTGGTTTCTCTTGCTCACGTCTGTTTCTTCATTGACTATATATGGTTTGTCACTCAGGAGGTGCTTGGTACATATTTGTTTAAGAAACATTAGCAAGTATTTGAATAAACAAAGTTTTTAAAAACCCACTATCTCCCTTAGTCAACTTCTCGCCTCCAGGTTTCCTAGCTAGAGGAAGGGAAGGGGAAAGGGAACATAAAAAGAATCAAGACATGCTGTGTATACAGACCACCTTTCCGAAATGAATTACTATTATAAACTGCAAACATGTACTAATAAGGGCTGAGGAGATAACTCAGTGGCATAAGCACTTGTCTGGCAAGCACAAGGCCTTGAGTTTCATCCTTAGTACCAAAAAAAATGGAAGTCTAATGAGGAAAAAAATGGGGACCACGCTTTTGTAAATAAGCGGGGGAAAAAGTAAATAG